TCCCTGGTGATATTTGTGCCTGGAGAGCACTATATAAGTGGTGCTCTTCAGACACAATCTTCCTCAGCATACTCAAGCTCAACTGATGAGGGGTGAATTCCCCGAAACACTGTGTATTGAGCAGAGAGTGGTGCTTTCCTGCAGGTTTGCCGAGTCGAAGGTTCGATGGACTTCTCGTGTGCTCCGGATGGCAGTCGTGTGTCAGTCAAGTGAGAATTCAAGTCGGCATGAATAGCGCAAGTTCCCACGTAGGGAGCAACACACAATTCCCTTAGTAGAGTAATGGTGGTTAATACAGTCATGTGACATGCCAACCAACACACCACTCTCTAAAATGCAAAGGTCTGGTAAAGATCACTCCTTGAAGGCTTCATACTGTATTAAAGTCCGTAAAAATGGCGGTAAGCAAACGCCAGCCAACACACCTTGAGGCATTTCCAAGATGTGACAGAACTGCATGCAGCTATAGCGTGTAGTTTGTTTTGTTTTGTTTTGTTTTGGGCAAAAGAATAAGTTGAGTATTTGGTGTGAACCATGTTAGACTTTTAAATTCAAGAGGAGACTGTCTGTGAGGAGAGATTATGTCCAAACAGGGTAGGACACTGTACCCTCTTACACGCGTATGCTATGAGTGGCCCAGTGCCAGTTCGTTCTGAGGAGATGGTGATAAAGCTGCTGCCTTGAACTTTTGGATGTTCTTTGGGTGAAATGGGTGGGGAATGATAGAGGAAGGCAGCTGGTTCCAAATTGGGATGACGGAGTGGGGAAAGGCTCGGCTCACATTGTTCGGGAATTTGCGGGAAGAACATTCTGTAACTGATGGGGATGCGCGGTGGATAGTCGTACAGCCTGGCGGGTGAGGCGTGTGGTCCTGGGCTGGTGTGTCGGGAGTGGAGCCATTCTCGAGAGAAGAGAGGGAGAACTATCGCAAAGGGCTTTATACAGGAGGCAGAGGGCAGCGATGGTGCGGCGAATTATGAGGCTAGGAAGCCAGCATTGCGGATGTATTGCCTTGATGGCTCGCTCCTGCACCCAGTCCAGGCCAGCCGCTTCTAATGGGAAGGAGCTGCCCCCATCCAGACGATTGGGCAGTACTCCATAACCGGCCGGACAAAGGCTTTGTAGGGTCGAAGTCGGGCAGGAATAGCCACCAAGTGAAATGCCTTGCGCAAGGCTCCAAGTCTCTGCGTTGCTCGGACTACAACAGTTCGGATATGCTGGCTGAATTTTAGCTGATGGTCAAACGTGACGCCGAGTACTTTGATGGAGGGCTGCTCCTCGACAGGAGTTCCATTGAACAGAAGACAATGGGGGGGGGGGGGGGGGGGTATTGGCCAGTCCCGACGATGGTGGGAAATTGTAAGGGCCTGAGATTTGGCTGGCTCGAACTGCACTTTCCAATCCGAGCCCCAACTGGATACTAGGTCAAGAGTAGCCTGGAGTACTCTAGCGTTGTCAGGAACAGCAGCGAGAGTTGCAATTTCGGCGTATAGGGTTGTGTCGTCGGCGAATGAGGCAAGGTTGGAGCCGATTGGGAGGTGGTCTTCAGTGCCCGGGGTGTGTGTGTGTGTGTGTGTGTTGACCGCCATTTGCAAACTGTACCGAGATATTCACGTGGAGTCTTCAACTTGAACCAATATTCTATCCACTGAACCTGTCCAATGGATGTGTGGTAGACCGAAGCAGGGAAAAGAAAGGTACCCGTACGGCACTACTCCTTGGACCAAGGTTCCTGCAACTTTGGCGCCCCTATAACAGGATGAGCGTGTATTAAAAAAAATTAAAAGAGAAAAGAAAGAAACCGTTTGAGCCTGCAGCGTCATTCGCAGTGAACAACACTATTCCAGTTTGCCAGTAACAATAACGTGGTCGGGCTATGATTAGTAATCTTTCGTTTTAAAAACTGCTAAATTGAAATAGAAAGCCACTGCAAGTCAGTTTGAAATGGCAAATGCATGATCAAATCTGCAGAATCTGTGACGATTGAAAGTTACAGTTACTCACACCAATCACCAAACCGCACACATACAAACACACAAACACACACATGGCACACAAGCGCACATACACACACACACACACACACACACACGTACACACACATACACACACACACACACACACACACACACACACACATAAACACACACATAAACACACACACACACACACATAAACACACACACACACATAAACGCGCACACCGTGACACACTCACTGCACAGGCAGAAGCATGAACACTGGCTTGCCGTGGATCTCTGCATTGCACCTGCTTGCCACAAAACCAAAGAACGGTAAGACAGCATTCATAGGCAGCACGTACGTTGCTTCCCACCATGTACTGGCAAGATTGGAAATGTGAGACACACGAACTGACACTTTTCGAATCCTAGTGAAGCAGTCAACGGACATCCGAAAATGCAGAACGCTTCCAAACTGCACGCATCGTCTGGATACGACATCCGCATTGCCATCAAATACTTTCACATCCTGCGCTGACTGGCAGAACAATCCATTTCCAGCACGCAGACAGCTTGCATCCTCATCCTCATTGCCACCATCAGTATCATCAGCATTGTTAAGTATAGGGTCATGGTTTGAAACAAAAACTGAGTGAGTATCTGCAGCTGGGTACTCGTTTTGTGGACGAGTTCGATGAAGAGTTTTAAGATCAGTCACTCCCACACTGAGTAGTTTGCAGTCGTTACTGGATATCATTACGCACCACTCGCAGCAAGGCTTGTCATACGCTTCAGTGCTACCGACAACTGCGTATGACATCATCGACGTGTCATTACGATGACGACCGCGTTGCGTAGTGCCTGCCAGTGCCCTGCCGTCGTGCGTTGCCATGCAGCCGTTGTAGCAATCCGCCGGTCTGAACAATAGTGGGTACTTGGCAGCAGGCACACGGTACAGTTTATACACACCGCTGTCACGGCGACATGGCCTGAGCTCACACCAGTGACCAGGGGGTGGCTGCTTGAGATACATGTCAGTGGCGGTTGCGGCAATGCACACCACGGACTTGCCTTGCGCCGAACTGGTAGTCAAGGTGACGCTTGGAACACAGTCGAAGAGGTGAGTAGAGTGCAGGGTTGGAGCTGGCGGACACATGACTGCTATCTGCCATGGAGTGTGCGTTGCCTTGGCAACCTTGTCTAGTTGAACGTGCCACTCGATGTCATGACTGCGCACGTTCCAGACGTATTCCACTCGACACGGTGACACACAACAGCCGGACAACAGTGTGCCACATCGCTGTACAGCATCCCGGACACTCTCAAATTCCGTCCATTCAAATCTCCAACTGTATACGGACGGTGCAGGCAGTTCACAGGTGCTCGACAGATACGGAATAGTATTCAGCATGTCCGTGGTGCTGCGAGTGCAGAATGCATGCAACGACTCCCTGGCTTTGCGGTTCGTTGCAGTTTTCAATTGCCTACGGACTCGCTGCAAATAGGATATGTGTTGCTCAAGATGCAGTTTTTGCTGTTCAATTCCACACTGCAGCTCCCAACGGAGTTCATCGATTGTATCGTAGAAGGCATTTTCTCGAGCGGCTAAATTCTGGCGGAGTTTTTCAAACATATCACCTACATCCTGTGAGGCTTTAGTAGCAGTTTGCCGGATATCAGCCATGCACATTTCCATCGCTGTTACATCATTCTGTTTAGCATATAGCTGTTCATCCAACGCCGAGCAGAACTGATCCACCCATTGCTTCATGATGTCATCACAAACGATGTGTGCTTCGCTGCCTTCCTGTGATGTCATAGAATCCGGCATGTGATTCGAGTCATGGGCATGGTCAAGTTCATCCAGGGTGAATACTCCGCTATCCCTGCGGGCTCGACGGCTGGTTGATGATGTTTCAAAGGCAAACGATGAAGTCTGATGCTGGCAGTCAGGGTAACATGGTCTTCTTGGCTCTTCGTGTTGTTGTTGTTGCTGCTGCTGAATTGGTGCCAGAGTGGTGTGGCAGTTGGTGGTTCTACTTTTATTGTGTGCAATGAAATGATCGCTGCAGAGCGCTGCACAACACTCTACACAAGCAGCAACCGCTTGGCGATCTGCAATATCCTCAGCGCACCAGTCGCACGCGCAGAGACGACGGGTAGCTAAATCCGACTCAGCACCACTGCAGCCGCGAGTGTGACCAGTGCATGCCACCCCCAGCCCCAGGGTACGACGGCCTACGCTGCTCTTGACTATGGCATGCTGCTGGTCAAGGCTACGGATACAGTCACTGAGATTTGTCCACGAGAAGCACTCTGGACATCGCAATCCTCCCGATGCGCGAGGTGCGGAATGGTCTGACGGGGTCAGCACTTCCAATCGCTCGCCATAGCAATGCTCGCACAAGCTGTGAAAGCAACACAGCAGGTATGTGGCAGCTCCATGCGTTTCGCGCAACTTCTTACAACCAACACATGCTTGCCCATCGCCATCTTTCTCACTACAGATTGCTGCTGACATCTTCTTCTTCAGGAATGGAGTCGCAACCTCTATTTCGTACCATCTTCTTCTTCCTTCCATCATTTCAGAATCTTACGATTTTTGAGCAGACTACAGTCGAGTCATGACGACACCGTACCGTCACACAGGCCCGGTCCTACTCATCACATGCACGTATACATGCACACTTCACTTGAAGTAACAGTTCACAGTCGTCAGTAATCATTCATTCATGGTCATCACTCATCAGGCGAGCTTTATTTTTGTATGATACTATGAATGCTGACTTTTGCTGTGTCATGTGTGCGCGGCACTACATGTCTACACGCACGTGCGAGGCTAGCTAGGTAGATCTGGGCCAGCGCGCCACTGCACTCTCTAGATCTCTGTTCCGACCGTAGCGTAGATCTAGCGTAGAGGTACTGCACTGCGGGTTTGTGCTTCGAACTCGAAGATTCGATCAAGCACAAACACAGTTCCGATGAAACAAAATAATTATTTTTTTACTTGAAAGCATCTACTACTATACTAGTACTCAGCCATTCCCGTCGTACCGGTACGGACGTCGGTAGAGCGATCCTGTATGGTAATTGGTAGATCAACTACTAGTAGGATTGTACTTGGTGAGAGCGCTAGCGGTGTAAATATAAAGTCAGGGCAGAACCTTTTTTTACAGCCGTCTCTGCCATCGATCGGAACAGTAGCTGACCGTGAACATGGCCAAGGAGCTATTTCTAAAGGCGAACAACGCCAAGGGAGAGTTTGTGCGAGTGGCGGCATCGTTTCGGAATTTCATTCGTGCTGATCCTCAGGCTAAGTTTCCTGCCGAGGCTGGACGTTATCACCTGTACCTTTCCTTGGCCTGCCCATGGGCGTCCAGAACATACTTTCTTTTGAAAGCCAAAGGCCTGGAGAAGGTGATCAGCAAGAGTGTGGTCCACTGGAAGATCTCTGGAGATCGGAGTTGGGAATTTATTCCTGGAAAGTACCGGTGTGATGCGGATACTGTATTGGGTAAAGAGACGATACGAGAAATTTATCAAACGTCTGATCCTGGGTACTCGGGTCGCGTGACCGTCCCTGTGTTGTTTGATAAGAAGACGAAGAAGATCGTCAACAATGAATCGTCCGAAATCATCCGCATGCTAAACACGGAGTTCAATGAGTTTTGTGAGACGAGCGAGCAGAGAAAGCTGGATCTGTACCCCGAAGAGCTGCGCAGCACCATTGAGAAATGGAACGATTTCTGCTATCCAAACGTAAACAACGGAGTGTACAGGAGTGGGTTTGCCACTTCTCAAGAAGCATACGATACAGCGGTGGCCCAGCTGTTTGATGCGTTGGATACGCTGGAGGAGCACTTGAGTCAGAACAGATACTTGGCTGGCAGTACGTTTACGGAGGCCGACATTCGTCTGTTTGTCACTCTCGTGCGCTTCGATATGGTCTACGTGGGTCACTTCAAATGCAACAAGCGTCGCATTGTCGATTATCCAAACCTTTGGGCGTATACACGTGAGCTGTATCAAATGCCTGGCGTAGACGAGACGGTGGATCGGTTTCACATCGAGCATCACTATCAGGAGTCGCATGGTCAGATCAACCCGCACGGAATTGTGGCCATTGGCCCACAGCTAGACTTCACAATCCCACATGGACGCGACGTCCAGTTTGCATGATCAGTGTAATGTCGCTGCATATAATGAATGGTAAAGGACCCTCCGCGAGTAGGTACGCAATGTGAGTAGTTAAATACCATGCCAATGGACTCCTGCAGTCATGGGCCTGCAGAGTGCTAAACTTCTATTCAGGTATCATCCGATTTTCACTTGTGAATTTTCCGCTCTTTACAATTTCACGCCGGTCTTTTACGTTGATTTTGATGCTGATGATTCTTAGCCCGCTCTACCGAACCAATTCATATTTGGGTTACAAATGAACTCTAGATGTATCTGCTAATACACAAGTGTTCAGGATACTCATCTTGATACTCTCCACTCCACCATGTCTCGAGTTTAAAGTCATCCTTCCAAGTAGGCATATTCTTTTCATTACTAAGATTATTAAAACTCGGATGTGGACAGTTAGTCATAACTCGTAACATTTTGTCCTTTCTTTTATCAATGATTACCAGGCTTACCTTTTTGTTGAAGTAGGTATGTGCAGAACGTTACACAGTGCACATTGAGTTTCTGGATTAAAATCGAACACGCTAATCTCCTTCTCCCATTACATTGTGATAAGGCCATGGTGTGATGTTGCTTCTAGACTGCTAGGACCACTGGGGTGTACGGGCCCAGTATGTATTGGCCTTATTCCTGTGCTTGCGTGCCCGAACGCGTGCACGCTCGCACGTGTGTGTGTGTGTGTGTGTGTGTGTGTGTGTGTGTGTGTGTGTGTGTGTGTGTGTGTGTGTGTGTGTGTGTGTGTGTGTATGTATTCCATGCGTGTGACATGGACAACTTGTCCGTCTGAACAACTTGTCCATCTGATCTTGATGTACCGCATTTGGATTTATGATTCACATCCCTCGAGTACAGTAAGCCGAAACCCTAGAAAACGATATTCGGCGGTGTCACATTTGAATCGACTCATGTGCATGTCATGCACAATAACCTTTGAATGCTTTGGTTGTCACGCTAATCTCCTTCTCCCATTACATTGTGATAAGGCCATGGTGTGATGTTGCTTCTAGACTGCTAGGACCACTGGGGTGTACGGGCCCAGTATGTATTGGCCTTATTCCTGTGCTTGCGTGCCCGAACGCGTGCACGCTCGCACGTGTGTGTGTGTGTGTGTGTGTGTGTGTGTGTGTGTGTGTGTGTGTGTGTGTGTATGTAGTTGCTATGTCTAAAACATAGCTGTTCGCTATCATCGCTCCCGCGATGGGCATGTCTGAGGTCTGAGGTCTGAGGTATGTATTCCATGCGTGTGACATGGACAACTTGTCCGTCTGAACAACTTGTCCGTCTGATCTTGATGTACCGCATTTGGATTTATGATTCATATCCCTCGAGTACAGTGAGCCGAAACCCTAGAAAACGATATTCGGCGGTGTCGCATTTGAATCGACTCATGTGCATGTCATGCACAATAACCTTTGAATGCTTTGGTTGTCCTGCAGCGCAGGATGTGCTTGGGTTAGTCCTTGGAAGGCTTGGTGGGTGCGGATCTGTGAAGCAAGAGATTATCAACTACATGGTATTATAGTATGGTACATTTGGTGATCACTACCTGTGTACCGTACTTTTACAGGTGTTTTCATTTGCCTGCGAATTCATGCAAATACGATATTGATTATTGTACAATCTCATGCACATGAGATTGACAGTACAATCACTCATGTACCGGTACGTGTAGTATCATACAGTATGCTGGTGGTTCCACGCGGGATAAATATTATCCCTGAAATGCGCTACACAACACTCCAGACACGCAGCAGGACGCAGCAGCCGCTTTGCGATCTACTAGTACTAGTATATACCAGTACATGTACCGTATTTTTCTGAGTACACTCAAACGCCTCTTATCCGGACGCCTCAGATAGGGGCACGTCTCTCTACCGGGCACCTTCAGCTTGAGTTCCTATAGCACAAATGCGTCGAATTTGGGTTTTTTGAACTTTTTCCGTATGTGGAAGTGCTTGTTTCACTGCCAACCTATGTAACCCCCACATTTTTATCAATGGGTTCCTTTTGTATCCTCAACATGTGCAATACGTGCCAAATAAACTTCTTCAAAAAATGTTATCATACATGGTAGATGAGTTATTCTGAGATACGGGCAAATCTGAGATACGGGCAGTGCCCGGTCCCAAGGTGCCCGGATAAGAGACGTCCGAGTGTACAATAGCATGGTATAGTGCGCACCTTTTTTATAACGCGCACCCCCAATCTTCATTGGTGGTGCGCACTTCAATCTTCATCGAAGTACAGTCAACTTCGCTTATAACGACACTCGGCGGGGCATCAGAAAAGTGTCCTTATTCGCGAAGTGTCGTTATACCCGAAGTCTCATTACATGTACATGTATACAGGTACTGTAGTATGGACTTTTTTTTTTATTTATTTATTTTTTTATAGACAACACCTCATGGCATGAGAAGAAAATCAGCCAGTACGGGAGATGTGGGTGTTAACCAACCATGGTGAATAAAAGAAGAAAAGTAATGGTCAAGATGGAGAAGCATGGGCCGGGAGGGACAAATGATGGTGAATCTAGTGAGCAGATTTAAATGCGTCCAGGGTACTCGCGTGACTTAAATTTTTTTTTGCTCTGGGCATGGAAATTCTGTCGTTATTCGCGAATTGTCGTTATATCCGCAGTCGTTATAAGCGAAGTTGACTGTACACTGTACATGCATTTCTAGTCCATCGGCCAAGTCTCAAAATCGAAAGTGGTGATGCACTGAGCTTCCAACTAAACGCGACCATACCCAGCACGTAGAGAATATATCAGAGAACACTATTCCGTTTGTTGGACGTGCCGAATTCAGTCCAGGGCGTCGATACGAAGCGTTCTTCGTCGCCGAGTTTTTTACTGTGCGCTCCATTTGAGAGTGCGCAGAGTTCTGATCGAGAGTTTTTTGAGCAGATTTTCAAATTTTTGAGGCTGTCAGCTGACAGCTGTCAACCCTAAATGGCACTTAGTATGGGACAGGCAATAGGTTTTGGTGCCTCCGTATGCCTTCTAATAATAATAAGTTCTATCTTCCTTCGTTTCACTTCGCTGCTTCGCCCACCACCTCAGGAGATGACAGCGTACCTGCACTAGTCAGCTCTCGCTAACCCTGTCTCTCTTTCTCCGTCTTAGCGCTCGTCATTCGTGTCCTTCTGCTGGGGCGAGCTTGATACTGTTGTGTCGTAGTTTTTAGGCAATAGTGGCTGTTGTTCGCGTGACGATCAGGATTTATGGAGAAAGACGACGACTCGCCAAGTTCCCATGCAGCCACAGACGGCGTAGCAATTCTTACCGCCAACCCTTCGAGCAACGGAACCGGCCTGAGTTGGAAATCGTGTCTGTGTAATTGTGCCACGATACGGATGAAACACACAGGCTCACATGTGACGAGATGAAGATAATCTCAACAGGCTGACGGAAATCCAACAGGCTCACGGGAACGCTGCAGTTATGGTCGGAGACGCGGAGTTATTTAGTCACTGGTAAATGTTGCATCAAGTGCTGTGTGCTCTAACACAATTGCAAAAATCATGAAAAAGCGAAAATAATGCTATGATGGGGCTGAGTCACACGTAGGCACCGGCGGATTATGCTCGCGAAATCAAGGAATTATGCTTTCATGGATTCTCGCATTATGCTCGTAAAATCCTCATATTATGCTTTGGCACCCGGGGATATATATGTAGGACTCAGTGACCAGTCAAGGCCCCGTGACCAATCACGGTCCCCGTGACCAGTCAAACAGTCACAACCCCCCCATGACCAGTCACAAATTAGTTTACCAGTCACAATGCCCCATGACCAGTCACAAATCACCATACATGTACATGTGTAAAGTACACAGTTCGTGACTGCTCGCAGGGTGCTTCGTACTGCAGGATTTGTTGTGGAAACTATAATTCCCTATGACGGGTCACAGAATACAGTTGTGACCACTATAATTCCATGCGAACAGTTACATGCGGAATGTACAGTTGTGACCACTCTTTCTCTGTGAGTAGTCACAGGCAGAATATAGGTATTTCTGTATTACAAGAGAGATTGGAGGCTTTGTCACAACTCTGAGTTTCACGTATTACTACGATCGTCAGGCAACTGAGGGCTCCTAAACGGGCAGCCTGAACATAACGGGGAGCAAGGTGGGAAATTCTGAGGGGTATCATAGGCGACGGGTATTATAGTGCAAGAGTCAGGTGCAGGCGTGAAGTTGCCAAGTCTTCAGACTTGGGGCTATGCAGCAGCAGTTCCAGCGTGAATGACATAGAATAGAGCTGGGGACCACACATGCCCGCACCATTACACACACATACACCCATACTCTCTCCCATTTCTCACATACACCCACACGTGCGCGCGCGCGCACACACATACACACACACACACACACACTCATTCTCTAAATCTCTCTCTCTCGCACACACACACACACACACACATTATGTCATTCATTCTCTACATCACACACACACACACACACACACACACACACACACACACACACACACACACACCTGGCTTGGTGTACAGCTGCCAAATGCTTAGCCACGCCGCCCCCGAGACAGGGGGAGAGTAGAAGAGAGAGTTTGAGACACACACACACACACACACACACACACACACACACCTGGCCTGGTGTACAGCTGCCAAATGCTTGGCCACGCCTCCCCCCCCCCCCCCCCCCCCCCCCCCCCCCCCGAGACAGGGGGAGAGTAGAAGAGAGAGAGTTTGAGACACACACACACACACATACACACACACACATACACACACACACACACACACACACACACATTCTCTAAATCTCACACACACTCACACACACATTCTCTCTCTCTCTCACACACACACTCTCTTTCTCACGCATGCACACACACACACACACACACACACACACACACACACACACTCACACATGCGCGCGCACACTTACTCACACACACACACACACACACACACACACACACACACACACACACAAATAGGCAGCGGGACTACCAGCTAGATTCACTTGACCTTGCGGACAAAGTTACGGAGGTAGAACTTGTTTTCATGACGACACTTGGACACAAGTACTTCTGTATTATTATTTTATCTCTTTTCAACCAATCCACAAGCCAAGAAGAGATGCGTAGACGGAAGAACCGTACTCTTGGTGATACTGATCGCAAACATGAATAATTCCTCCAGGCCATTGAGCACCCAATTCTAAACCTTATCTAAGCAAAGCAGCATGCCAGTTCAAGAACATCTCGTCAGACATACATATCGACACATGTCTGGTGCACTCTCATTACAAGCAGGCATCGCAGGCTACATTCGCACCAGCAATCAAAAGAAGTTGAAGTGAGTGAATATTTCTATAAAATTAATAATTGGAAGACAAATGAAGGTGTGGAGGATCGCCCAAAAACACTGACAAGGAGACAGTAAACGGTACACAGTACTCGTATGCATGTACTTATACACGTTATAGCAGCACAACGAGAAAGACCATGATGCATAATGTTGCATCAATAAATTTTACAGAGTTATTTTGGGAGTAGAAATGAAGATGTGTTCGAAGCAGTAAACTGCGTAAGCACTACGT